GGTTGTTATATGGTCAGGGAAAACCGGACCTGGGTGAGTTCAGGGCATGGGCAGGCATTCCAATCAGCTTTACAACATCAACTAATGGCCAGGCCATACAGACATCCTGATATTTTTACAGAAAACAGAAATGAATCCTTCATAACTTGTGACAAGCTGGCTTCTAATCTAATGAGATAACTAGGCTAGGTATATCAGGATGTCACTCAGTATACAAGTCCTGGGTTCAATCCCCAGTACCACAAAATTAATTAATAATTAAACTTATTATCTATAGAACCCTGTGCTAGGAGCTTTACTTCAATAAAATTGAAGCTCAGAGAAATATAAGAAACCTCCATGATAGAGCTGGGATTTGAAATCATAGTAATACATAGATTAACTATCCCTCATCCAAAATGTTTAGAACCAGAAGTGTTTTGGATTTTAGACTTTGCAATATTGGTACATACACAAATGAGGTATCTTGGGGATGGCACCCAAAGGTAAACATAAAATTCACTTATATATCACAGGCTGGAGTCGTGGCTCAGTGGTAGAGCACTTGCCTGGAATGTGTGAGGCCCTGGGTTCGATACGCAGCACCGCATCTAAATGAATATAAATCCATTGACAACTAAAAAAATATTTTTTAAAAAATTCACTTATATATCACATACATCTTATATGCATAGCCTGAAGATAATTCTGTGTTATTTTTAGTTGCCTGCATTTGACTGTGATCCATCACATGGTGTCAGGTGTGGAATTTTCCACTTGTGGAAAATTCATGTCAGCGTGCTCAAAAAGTTCAGATTTTGGAGCATTTCATATTTTCAGATTAAGGATGCTCAACCTATTACTGTTGAACAAACCCCAAAATATATTATCCTTGAGCAAAGGATGTTACGTTCTATACCGAAAAGACTATATGAAACAGAGACAAATTTTAATTTACCAAGTTTTTCCTGCTTATTTTTTATCATCACTACCCAAATTTAATGGTATTTTGATACTGAGAAATACTTCCACCTGAACTTCCTTACTGACAAAATGAAAAAGGCATGTGGAAAGAGAAACTGAGGGGGAAAAAAATGTCACTTGTCTAAAGCTAAAAGGCAGCTATAATGGAAAGAAGACTAAAAAACACCCAATTAGGTAGTTCTTTTTCCCTTTTTAATTATGAATACAGGATCATCCTTCCTCTTCTARGAGGGCAAAGTATTTGGGCAAAAATTTGTTTCTGTGTGCCTTCAGAGACTTGGATTTTGTACTATTTTTGTCCAATMAAAAATCTTAACAATACAAAGTAGCTTTCACAGTTTCACTGATGCCTATGCTTGGTAACATTTTTAAACACCCTAAATACCAGAAGACAAAAACTAAGCCTGAAACAAGATCTTGGGTTCCATCCCCAGCATGGGTGCATGCATACATACATACACACACACACATACACACACACACACACACACACACACCTGACCCATAAACCCAAGTGATTCACTCTTTAAGAATCGGGTGAAAAAGCCTGGTGTGGTGGCACACACCTGTTATCCCAGCCGCTCAGGAGGCTGAGAGAGGAGAATCAGTAGTTCAAAGCCAGCTTCAGCAACCACAAGGAACTAAGCAACTCAATGAGACCCTGTCTCTAAATAAAATACAAAATAGGGCTGGGGATGTGGCTCAGTGGTTGAGTGCCCCCAAGTTCAAGCCCCCGTACCAAAAAAAAAAAAAGAATCAGGTAAGAGATGTACAACCTAGAGGGTTATGCATTTGGAGGATTCAAATATGGGAGACAGATAAAATTGTTGAATTTTTTACAACAAAAAATGAAGAATGTGTCAGGAGCTATGCAGAAGAAGCCTGTGTTATATCACATAAAAAAAAAAAAAAACTGTGAGTAACTAGGTTTTCTACCCCAGTGACAGATTTGCATAGTATGTGCAAAGCCCAGGATTCAATCACCAGCACTGCAAAAACAAACAAAAAAAGTAACAACAGGGAAAGATTTGACTTCCATCTCATTTTACTGATTCATAAGCAAGTCATAAACTTGAGATTACAAACAGAATCATTTAGAAAAACCTAGCAGAATGGATTTAATAGATAAGAGCAAAGTTTTGTTAATTTATTACAACGGGCTATATTCCAGCAAATCCTTAATTGCCTATCAAAATGAATTCTCTGGGAAGGTGAGGAGCAAGCAACTAGCACAATTTTGCTGCATTTTAAATCTTCTCTACTTAATGTGGCCTACGACAATACAAAACAAAACCAGAATTTCCAGATGCATATAGCAGGATACTGTAGAAACCAGTTCCAACAAAGAAGTGTAAATGTTCAAGCTGAACTGGATGACTCTTTAAAAGTTTGAACTGTGAAACAGATGGAAGGAGAAAGTTTAAATAAGAATTAAAAGATGTAGAATGTTTCCACTCAGATCTAAGATTCTTCATTTTGTTTCATAGGGAGCTGGCAGGCTTATTCTAAAGAGGAAAACAAGCCTCATCCAGAATACCCTGCCTCAGTGGTGGTGGGTGGGTCCCTGGGTTCCAGCACATCCATAATTTATCACATGCCCTAGCCAACAAATTAATGCACAATGATTCCATCCCCTGCTCTCCCACAAGGAGGCAATCTTTATGTCAGAACAATGTGCCCAGGAGAAGAAACTAAAAATACAAGGCATATCCAAGGCAAAGACAAGCCTCCCTATTTTCTCTTTCTTCTTTTGCCACACCTTTACCTCTCTCCCCAATTTAAAGCTGTACAAAATGAGGTCCCCAGGCCCTAGGGTCCAGGCGGTTCTTCCTTTCTCCATGGGCAGGCTCTACAAAGAAGCCAAAGCTTGTATTGAGTTTTCTTAAGGTTTGCATATAAATAACGAAAAGCCAGAGCTGGCCTGGGAGCTATGGAAAGCAGAATAATGAGTCACCCCGCAACGACTCARTCAAACCTGTAGACCACAATGCCCCCGATCTGGTAAATGGACGGGGACTGGGGAAGGGGGACCACCCCAAAAAAACCTATCCACTGACAGGTTTAACTAGCTGATTGGAGAATGGCAAATCACCAATCTCTCTGAGCCTCATCTCTAAAAACAGGTGCTGGACTGGATAGCCTTCTAAGAAATAATTTGAGTCATGACATGGATCTTTAGAATACGTTACAGGAGGCAACTGGGAAGTTTCCAAAGAGGAGGCATTTTTCAACAAAAGGGGGAGGGAAAAGTGCTTGGTAAAAACACACACATTTGGGCCTCCAACTAGAGGCGGGCGGAGAGAGCAGGGTCAGAGGTTCAAGCAGAGGGATGGAGGGAAAAGGCAACAGCGACGCTGGAGGCTGGGTGTGTACGTATAGGAGGGAACGATCGGATGAAGGGAGCCGGGGGTGCAGGAAGGCCTACTCCAGGGGTGGGCAGGGCGCCGCGCCCCGCCACGCTACACCTCCACGAGAATCGCAGGGTGGAGGCGCCGGTCAGCGGCTGAGGAAAGTCGACAGGTTTAGGGATGGGGTACCGGGAAAGAGGCTCACAGGCGGAAGGCGGCCTCCACACATCTCGCTAGCCGAGAAGGCGCGCGCTAGGCCCCCCAAGGGCTGGCTGGGGTGATGGCGCGGGGGAGGGGCCGGCCAGGGTGGGGGAGGGGAGGTCGCGGGCCTCTCACAATAACATCTCGCGGCGCGTTCCAACCCCCAGCCTTCGGCCACCGGTTCCGACAACCCTGGATGCACTCACTCAGGTAGAGGGTCCGTGCGGGCCCCAAGCGGCTGCGGCGTCGGCTGGTGGCGCGTCTGTCGCTCGCTCAGTCCCGGCGGCCCCAGTCCGGCGCGTCCCTCCTCGGGCCCCAGCACCAGCAGCAGCGCCTCCACTTCCGGTTCCCCTGCCACTCAGGCAAATGGCTTCCGGAAGTTCCGCCCCCGTTCCTGCCTGGCCTCCGACTGGCGGGTCTCTCACTTTCACTCTCAAGGCGCGCTCTCTGCTCGCGACCAGGTGTCCTGCCACGCCCTGCTGGGTTCTCTGCTTTGTCTTCTCTGCGACGCTTCTTTCGCCTGTAGTCTGCACCGCTTGGGCCTCTGTCTTTCCTACAGCTGCATCCCCGAGTCCTGCGTTCCCGTCACCACGGTGTGATGGATGCCATCCGAGTTGGCATTCGGGACAATGTAGCGTGACCTCACGCTSACGCCATTCCCTTCTAACCCCGCCAACCTGATTTCTTCCTCCACTCAGAGAATAAACCAGATTGCTGAAACTGTGAGGGAAATTAGGTGCCAAGGTTAATGAGGCAGCCCCTTACTTTTATAAGTGGGACTTGTTTCTGTGATGAACGTAAAAATTGTGGGTGACCGCCTTTTAAGGTGATACCAGAGAGGATCGCGAGCCCYAGTCTTCCTTAAAGGTCCATCCAGGTTAGGAGAAGACAAACAATGAAAATATATGCTAAATGCTAGATAAATGCGGAATCTGTAAAAGCAGAGAGGAGGGGCAAGAGATGTGCTCAGACTTTCTTAGGAAAGGTTGGAGCAGCACCTGGGTTGATTCATTCAGACCTATGCTGGTTAAAAGGCAGACATTCCAGGAATATGAAATTAATCAAGAGATTCGGATTTGTTTCCCAAAACCTGTTAAGAATACTGTAAAAACCTGGGAACCTTAAGTGTCAAGATATGTTAATTTTTTTCAGACTACTTGTTCTGTCAGGGGATACTGAATTTGTATTATCTCAGACATAAACATCCAAAAATAATTTTTTCTTGATACAAAGTGACTTTCACATTGTTAACTTACTTTGGAACTCTCTTGCAGATGTTCACACATAGGTAGTTTGGGCTCACTAAKGGTTGTTTTAAATGTTTTACTGAAAAGAATTTGTCTCTGGGAATCCAAATGATATCCAAGAGATAGCCCAGAAATATATTGATAAGACAAACAGCTTGAATGATTCTTCAGGAATAAATTGAGGGAATCCTGTATTCCCCTCATTCAATACACCACATTCATGAGAAAAATTTCTTGAGGTCTGTTATTTATTTATTAGTTTTTAGTGTAGATGGACACAATACCTTTATTTTATTTATTTATTTTTATATGGTGCTGTTTTACATATGCTAAGCACTCTACCCCTGAGATATTGAAGCCAGATTTACAGATAGGTAGTTAGTGTAGTTAGGTAAATGGGGTCTAATATGGAGTAAGATATATAAAAGGGAGGCCATTATTAAGAATGGAGTCCAGGACCAATGGTACAGAAACCAATCCACAAAATTACAACTCTTRTATTTGATAAAGGGGCTAAAAGCATGCAATGGAGGAAGGATAGCATCTTCAACAAATGGTGCTGGGAAAACTGGAAATCCATATGCAACAAAATGAAACTGAATCCCTTTCTCTCACCATGCACAAAAGTTAA